TTGGAACTTGGCACTCTTTAACAAGACTGAAGGTACTTGAAACTGAGGATCATGAAGAAAACTATGGGAAATTAGGTTCTGAATTCATTTACATTTCTAACAGAGTATGGTGATAATGATTTTGGGTCTGGTCACCTGACCACCTGTCACTCTGATCCATCCATCTTTATTTCTAATGGAGTATAGTGAGAATGATTTTGGGACATTTGAAAAATGTGTAAATGATTAGGAGATTTTTTTGTGGATATTTCTGAAAGTCATATTCAATTAGGGTCTGAATACATCTAAATTTCTATCAAACTGATAGTGATTTTGGGACATTTGAAATTCTTGTAAAATAAAGTCCTATAAACATATTGAACCCATTAGGAAATTGTTTGCGGATATCTCTGAAAATCACACTCACAGACACTCATCCATCCGCCTTTGAAAATACTAATATATGATTCCACTTTAATCCAAAGATGTTTTTCTGTGTACAACTTAAAAAAAAGGGAGGGAGCTAAAGGCAGTAGCTAAAAAATACTCATTAATATAATGCTTCAACGATTAGCACTTGTCTTAGGGTTCTATATACGCTTCATAATATCGTCTACAAAATATCTTAGCCGCGGTTGTGTCTCATAATGCTTTGTGCTGCCGTATACATTCACTACTGTAAACCCCAGCGACTCTCCAATCTTCCCCTGCTCTTCGGCTTTAGAACAAAGGTGCTATTCAGTGCAGCAGGACAGGTAAGAGCACCCAAATGGAGCTCAAGTGGGCACTAGGCTTCTTGACTAAATAGCCAATGAGCATTCTAATCTTCCATTCTCTGCCTCCTATTCCATTTTGATAATGTACCATCCCCAGCAGCTGCTAAAAGCCTGAGCGAGGAGAGGGAGGGGTATTACACAAAAATTTTGGATGAAAACAAAACACGAAAAAGGTCGTCTTCAAGACGCTTCTGCGTAGCCGGTGCAGGCATATTACACTTCAACATTTTCTAAAGGGCAGCACATTAAGACCAGATCCTGTGGTCCAAAAATGCCACAAAATCAGGAAAATATTCAGCGATGCACATGCTTCTTCCGACATCTTCTCCCCTAGGTCCACAGCCTGCCATTACAGAAAATTACAACTTATATGTCTACATTCTTGGAAGTGGATAATTGGACGGAGGCCCATTATCAAGCACTCAAGCCATGCATGGAGCTGTATTTTCTGCTTTTAATACTCTTACTCTTTCCTACTTAAATTTTTGGCTTTAAGAAATATGAATACAGTAAAACCAGAAGAAAGAAAAAAATATGTTAGTCAAAATGATGTCTTCATCAGCAAGAGTTCATGAGTCATGGGACTCTTTTCATCTTTTTTGATGAAACTTACTGCATTAGTCCGCTTAGCAGAAATCTGGGGGGGAAAAGAAAAAAAAAGTGAAGTCAAGTCATTCTTCTGATTTCATGACAAATGTGGGTGAAATCTTGTGTTTTAAAATTAAATCAGCATAAAGGCAGTACAACAAATAATAGCATAGAGTATAAATACTTTACAATTTCAAGTATATACTGTAGTTTAGTTTTTTTTCCTTCACATTATAGTAACAAGAATAAGATTTTATTTGCATTTGAATCATGAGAATCAACCTAATTTTCATGAAAAGAATGCAAAAATGTTGCAAAAAATGTTTATGGCCATAAAGGAGGGGAAGTAATGGCCTAATGGTTAGAGAGACAGAGTTCCGGCAGGGATTGCAGGGGGGGGGAGTGAATGTACAGCGCTCTCTTCCACCTTCAATACCACAACTGAGGTGCCCTTGAGCAAGGCACCGAACCCCCAACTGCTCCCCGGGTGCCGCAGCAAAAAAATGGCTGCCCACTGCTTAGGGGGTGTGTTCACTACTGTGTGTGTGTGTGTGTGTGTCCACATTGGATGGGATAAATGCAGAGCACTAATGTCACATCACTTCATATATCAAGAGTGATAATGATTTTGGGATATTCAGAAGAGAAGAGAAGAGATCCTTTAATACATTTTTTTCATACTTTTGATTTTGAGAGGAAATATGCCCCAGATATTTTCCTCACAGGTTTTAGTAAGATTAACCCATGTACAATAGAATCACGGTGCCAAAATGTAAAAAAGAACCCACAATAGCCACTATAGACTAAAAGACAAAACAACAAAAGCAAGAATACTACATACAAAATTGCACAATGCACATGTCAACTGAAAGGCTGTAGGTCCATTATTGTGCATAAAGTATATAGTGCTTTTAAAATAGTGCTGCAAAAGTACGCTAGTTACAGAACTGAATTAGGGGTTTGGGAAATATACTGGTCCATAGGAGAAGGTCTACCTGAAAGGTTAATTGGGTGGGTTGTCACATGGAGTTGTTGAGTAGCCTGACAGCTTGTGGGAAGTCTGTTAGATGAGGAGACAGTGTTCACAACAGGGGTACAGAACGTGTAAGTTTTAAAAATATTCAGATAAATCGTTCAAGATACAATATGTATGTGCAGGGCCTAAAACTAACTTTTTGCCACACCTGCCAATGGCCGGTGACATGATCAAATTTACCGGCCAAAATTTTTTTTTACCGGCCATGAAACTCTTTTTGCAAAAACAGGCTGTTATTACTACTACAATGACTAAACATATTCAGTGGGGACATAATTACGGATTATAATGACTTATATTGTCTTTTTACACGTTGCGTTGCGTATCGTGCCGCGTAAACATAAAACCATTTGTCTGCATTTATGATCGGAGAAACGACAAACAACAAGCGCTACTCTACACTGCTCAAAACTCACATTTGAATCATTAGTGGCAAATTCTTTAAATATGAAAAAATACTTTCAGATTGTGAGTCAGAACAGCCGGCATTGTCACATTTCAGGTTATAAGTCAAATTTCATGTCAACTACCCATCTAGTTTGTTCTCTAACAAAGGATCTGTAAGACATTAACAGGCATGTACAGGTGCATCTCAAATAATTAGAATGTCGTGGAAAAGTTCATTTATTTCAGTAATTCATCTCAAATTGTGAAACTCGTGTATTAAATAAATTCAATGCACACAGACTGAAGTAGTTTAAGTCTTTGGTTCTTTTAATTGTGGTGATTTTGGCTCACATTTAACAAAAATCCACCAATTCACTATCTCAACAAATTAGAATATGGTGATATGCCAATCAGCTAATCAACTCAAAACACCTGCAAAGGTTTCCTGAGCCATCGAAATGGTCTCTCAGTTTGGTTCACTAGGCTACACAATCATGGGGAAGACAATCATTGACACCCTTCACAAGGAGGGTAAGCCACAAACTTTCATTGCCAAAGAAGCTGGCTGTTCACAGAGTGCTGTATCCAAGCACGTTGACAGAAAGTTGAGTGGAAGGAAAAAGTGTGGAAGAAAAAGATGCACAACCAACCGAGAGAACCGCAGCCTTATGAGGATTGTCAAGCAAAATCGATTCAAGAATTTGAGTGAACTTCACAAGGAATGGACTGAGGCTGGGGTCAAGGCATCAAGAGCCACCACACACAGACGTGTCAAGGAATTTGGCTTCAGTTGTCGTATTCCTCTTGTTAAGCCACTCCTGAACCACAGACAATGTCAGAGGCGTCTTACCTGGGCTAAGGAGAAGAACTGGACTGTTGCCCAGTGGTCCAAAGTCCTCTTTTCAGATGAGAGCAAGTTTTGTATTTCATTTGGAAACCAAGGTCCTAGAGTCTGGAGGAAGGGTGGAGAAGCTCATAGCCCAAGTTGCTTGAAGTCCACAGTTTCCACAGTCTGTGATGATTTGGGGTGCAATGTCATCTGGTCTATTGTGTTTTTTGAAAACCAATGTCACTGCACCCGTTTACCAAGAAATTTTGGAGCACTTCATGCTTCCTTCTGCTGGCCAGCTTTTTGAAGATGCTGATTTCATTTTCCAGCAGGATTTGGCACCTGCCCACACTGCCAAAAGCACCAAAAGTTGGTTAAATGGCCATGGTGTTGGTGTGCTTGACTGGCCAGCAAACTCACCAGACCTGAACCCCATAGAGAATCTATGGGGTATTGTCAAGAGGAAAATGAGAAACAAGAGACCAAAAAATGCAGATGAGCTGAAGGCCACTGTCAAAGAAACCTGGGCTTCCATACCACCTCAGCAGTGCCACAAACTGATCACCTCCATGCCACGCCGAATTGAGGCAGTAATTAAAGCAAAAGGAGCCCCTACCAAGTATTGCGTACACGTACAGTAAATAAACATACTTTCCAGAAGGCCAACAATTCACTAAAAAAAATTTTTTTTATTGGTCTTATGAAGTATTCTAATTTGTTGAGATAGTGAATTGGTGGGTTTTTGTTAAATGTGAGCCAAAATCATCACAATTAAAAGAACCAAAGACTTAAACTACTTCCGTCTGTGTGCACTGAATTTATTTAATACACGAGTTTCACAATTTGAGTTGAATTACTGAAATAAATTAACTTTTCCACGACATTCTAATTTATTGAGATGCACATGTACTGTTGTTCAAGGACGTAGCTTACGGATTGTTCTGATGAAAGGTCTTTCTGAGTGGAAAAAAAACTTTCAGTAGACAAAACACCATAAAACAGTTTTAAAAATGAAAGGGATAGTCCACCTTCAGTTGCTGGTTCCCACTGACTTCCATAGTTTGGGAAAAAAAAAACACTATGCAAGTCAATGGGGACCACACTGTAAAAAATGACCGTGAATTTAACGGTAAAAGACTGTAAAAATGACACACAAGGTAATAATTGTGTGCAATTTCCTGAAAAAAACAACAACAATAACAACCACTGAACAGCCTATTGTATGTTTCTGTTTTTACACTTAAATTCATCACAAAATGCAGTTGGATCCTAAAGTCTGAGACCACAAGTGAAAATGCTTCTAATTTTTAATATAATTATATTTTTATTTTTTAAGATCAGCATAACCATATGTGAAAAGTTTAAATAAATTCATAAATCAATATTTAGTATTTGGTTTGTTCCCCTTGTACTTCAATGATAGCATCACTGAAGCTGAATGAACTCCACAAGTTGAAAACCTGATGATCCATGTTATCCTGAATGATCACTGTCTGTTTATTTCTAGGTTTAATTTAGATTTTGAATTACAGGGTTGCATTTTAAATTATGCAGCCATGCGTAGCAGAAAGCTGTACATGCACTAATAAGAATGAAAACAGACATGATGAGTGACACCTTCACACTTTAATAATTATCAAAAAGGTAAATACATATACATAGCTTTGCAGCTACATAAAGGAATAAAGCATTACTCCCCAACAGAGTTGAGCTGAATAATTGAGCATTCAACCTCTATATTCAGACTGGAAGTTCGATGATAATGCAGAGAGAAAGACAAACAGGACTTCATGGGGTTCATGGGGTTTCTTCCTCCTCACATCCTTCGTGCTTTGCGAGGGCGACAGCCATTGTGTGGCACTGGGGTGTTGTCGGTGATGGAAACAACCTCCAGTCCTCCCATGGTTAACCCTTTAATGGCAGACTACACACGGGGGAGCAAAATCAATATAATCCAAGTCAGCTACCAGAGACAGTTCACAACAATACACTCTCTCTAGAAGAGACGTGTGGGGAACAGGTGTGACTCCAATGACAAAATGATCCAATGAAGCCTAATACTCTCGAACTATGCACTTGTGAAATGTGCTGATTTGGACAAAACATTTTTAATAAAATGCAATATTTCTAATAGGGATGAACATTATATCGGCACCATATTTGTTACTGGATATTACAAATGTTACATGATATTGATATTACAAATGTTATTTATCTTTGCTGTCATCTTATGGTCACTTAAAGTTTAATTTAAAAGAATAGTTCACTCAAAAATTCACTTGCTCAACAGTGGATCCTCTGTAGTGAATGGGTGCCGTCAGAATGAGAATCCAAACAGCTGTTAACAACAACACAATAATCCACACAACTCCAGTCCATCTATTAAAGGGTTAGTTCACCCAAAAATGAAAATTAGCCCATAAATTACTCACCCTCAAGTCATCCTAGGTTAATAAAACTCCAGTCGGAGTTATATTAAAAATTGTCTTTGATCTTTCAAGCCGTTTAATGCCACTCAGTGGATGTTGCATGCATCAGTCCAAAAGAAGTTAAATAAAAAGTGCCCATCCATTACAAAAAGTGTCTCACACGTCTCCGGGGGGTGAACAAAGGCCTCCTGTACTGAATCGATGCGTTTTTGTAAGAAAAATATCCATATTCAAAACTTAATCACTTTAATGTAGCTTGCGCCAACAGTTGTACACAGAAGCAGCTCCGGGCTGATGACGTATGAGGTCGGCGCTGCGCATGCGCCGGTGAGTCTCGTGAAAACCAACGTTTGTTAACAGGAGCAAAGGAAGCAAAGTTTCCTTACTTTAGCAAAGGAAAACCAGTCTCCTCTTGGCTTACATTGAAATTTTCCGACATTCTTCTTTACAAATCCTCGTTTTGTACTTCTAACAAGTGACCAGTGTTTTGTTTTGATCTCTCCGCTGCGCTCCCGCGTGCATCACTTCTGAGCGGCGCATGCGCAGCACTGACCTCATACGTCATCCGCCCGGAGCTGCTTCCGTGTACAACTGTTAGCGCAAGCTACATTAAAGTGATTATTATTACGTTTTGAATATGGATATTTTTCTTACAAAAACGCATCAATTCGCTACAGGAGGCCTTTGTTCACCCCCTGGAGCCGTGTGAGAGACTTTTTTTTATGGATGCTGCGCTTTTTATTTAACTTCTTTTGGACTGATGTATGCAACACCCGCTGAGTAGCATTAAACAGCTTGACAGATCAAAGACAATTTTTAATATACCTCTGACTGGATTCGTCTGAAAGAAGAAAGTCATATACACCTAGGATGACTTGAGGGCGAGTAATTTATGGGCTAATTTTCATTTTTGGGTGAACTAACCCTTTAACGTCTTGTGAAGTGAAAAACTGTGTTTGTAATATACATTTCAAACCATTGTTTCCGGCTACAATATGAGTCCTCTATCCATAATGCTTTCTCCAGTAAAAAGTTGTCTTGTCTGAGCCTGGAGAGAAATATGCATGTGAAATATGTGAGAAGACAACAGGGGATGGACATTTTCACTGGAGAAAGCAACATTATGGATTATAGACAGGTATTTTGTCCAGAAGCGACAGCTTAAAGTTAAAATGTCTTAATGAGTTTGTGGATTTGTTTCTTACAAACACGCAGCTTTTCGCTTCACAAGACGTTAATTGATTGTCTGGAGTTATGTGGATTACTTGTGGATTATTGTGATGTTGTTATCTTTTTGGACTCTCATTCTGATGGCACCCATTCACTGCAGAGGATCCACTGGTGAGCAAGTGATGTGATGTAATGCTAAATTTCTCATTCTGATGAAGAAGCAAACCCATCCACATCTTAGATATCCTGAGGGTGAGTATATTTGAAAAAAATAATAAAATGTCGTGATGCCTAAATTCACTTGTAGCATTTAAAATAGTTGATTTTAATTTAATTAGATTAGATAGATAATTAGAATATCATCAGCAATTTACCGGCCACAACATTAAAATAATTACTGGCCAGAATTGTAACATCTGAGCATCCCTGATTCCTTTCAAACTTCTATCCAACAATCCAAATCTACATCTATTCTTCTACAAGAAGCACAAGTATTTACCCTGGCTTGTCTATTTAGTAATTTGATTCAAATACTTTACCCCAGCAGTTGGTGGCTTTGCATTGATTTATTTATGCCCAACCACCATCTGCTTAAATGCAACTTAGTCTGGAAGCTTCTGACTGTGAATAAACCAAGGGTAGTTAGAGTAATGCAAGTCTTAAAAGCCCCCTGTTGCCTGCAGCTCTGGAGGGGCTCATTAGATTCTCACCCAGCCTTTATGTCCTCCCACCCGGCTCAGAGTAAGAGCATGCAGACTGCCGCTGAGCTCACAGAACTCATCGGTCAGTTTCAGAGTATTGATTGAATAGTCAGCACGCATAACTGTTGTCGTACCATATGGGCACAAACAGAAAATAATAAATAATCACTGCTGAAATTCCGCTTAAAAGGATCATGAAAAGAAACCGGATGAAATGCAGGAGGTTTAAAATCATACAATCAACTAGATTTTTATATTTTCCTAAGAAAATGTAACTGCAAAAGTCGCTGCCACTATGTCTCTACGCAGGTCCAAATGTGTTCAGGGTGATGCCATACATTTTTAATAATTTTTATTTAATTCCGTACAAAATACTGGTTACTGGTCACCAGTGTTGGGGAAAGTTACTTTTAAAAGTAATGCATTACAATATTGCGTTACTTCCTAAAAAAGTAACTAATTACGTTACTTAGTTGTTTTTTATTGAAAGTAAAGCGTTACGTTACTTTCGCGTTACTTTTTAAATCTGGGCTGGGCTTGCTTGTTTGCTTTTAATATAAAAAGTTCTATTTTTGGCAAATATAAAAGCCCTTTCATACCAAAAGCCTCAGGCTGAAGGAAATGCAAATTCACGTCTGTACAGTAGAACACAGAAGAAGAAAGTTCAACACTCTTCAGCAATAAAAAAAGAAGAAGAAATATTAGTTTATCTTGTGTAATTTTTGCTTATTAGTATGGTTGAATTGGATCACTGAAGGTCAGCAGCAAATAAATGGGATTAAATACATAAAGGATATTTGTATTATTTAACATATTTAATTATTGCAGCTTTGAGTCATATTCTGAGTTGCTGTTAACTGTTTTTATTAATTTTGAGGAAAACTAAATCAGATTTTTTTTTTTTTGTGAGTGAGTGAGATGAATTAATGCATGTTCACATTTATTCTAGAACTAAAGTAACATCTTACTCCCGATTTCTCGCAGCAAGGGGACAGGAGAGCTTTCAATCAATAAATGGGGAAAAAAAGTAACTGGCGTTACTTATTTGAAAAAGTAACTCAGATATTCTCTTGTAAATTAAAAAGTAATGCGTTACTTTACTAGTTACTTGAAAAAAGTAATCTGATTCCGTAACTCGCGTTACTTGTAATGCGTTACCCCCAACACTGCTGGTCACCATATCATTGGAGCTTATTAGCTTGTTTTCTGATGCGTCTTGTGATTGGTGGATATCAAACCATGGTGAAACAATGGCGGACTGATGACAGCTCACTCAGTGCGGGTCTAAGGTATGACACCAGTCCAGTCTGTGCTGAAACGCTACTGTCAATCAAACTATCGTGGGAGGGGCCTGTCTGTGTGCCATCACACAGACAGGCATCTGAGATCGGCTCGATTTGAGAAAGGGGAAAACATTTAACCAGATTAAAAAAAAAAAAACACTGGGTGGATTTGTATCATTATAGGGTGGTTGTGTACACACACTGCCAACACACATTTCAGTTCAAACAACATGTAAAAATGCATGTAGCATCCTATGACCCCTTTAACTTGCTCTTTGTTTGCATTGAAGAGTTTTTGTTTTTTCATTTGCAATTGTTTAGTCCTGATGAAGGCCTGTGTGCAGAAACGAGTTGGCACAATAAAGGACTGTTTTTCTACAGCTCTTTTTTTTAATTTCTACACTCCACACGTGTTGCTGGTTTTATAAGTAGTTTTTTGCTTTTTCCACACACCTTGTTGGTTTTTTGAAGTTGCACCAGAATAACCTCATAAGGCTTCTGGGTGGATGGGCCATATAAGTCAAAAAAGTCCTCCCCTAAATTTAAATTATATTCTGTTCTCTAGATCCTCTAAAAGGTAACAGCACACCTCAAACAGAGCAGAAAAGGTGATAGTAATAAGACTACTTTTACTACAAATTTCAATTAAGTCTTTTGTTTGTTTTTACTCATTTGCGCATCTGTGGACCTCAAGCTACGAACAGAAGCTTTAAATTCCCATTTGCATGCCATGAAACAGTGTTTAGCATCCACTGCACTAGTCTTTTGCTTTTCTTGTTTATTCTTTTATTAGTGGTGTTTGTTAAGGCATACTCAGGCTTAAGGATCTGAACAAACAAACACCAACAAAATAAATAAATGAACAACAAATAAAACACTCTAGTCAAACACTATTTGTGTTTTGTTGAGAAGATGTGTGCCATAACGATTTTCAACTTGCACATGATTAACTGTGTAGAAAAAAATATTTCTTTTCAAAGATGGCTTGCACAATTATATATATATATATTAAAAAAAAAAGATAAGAAATTAGCACCAAGTCAGCATATTAGAATGATTTCTGAAGGATCATGTGACTGAAGACTGGAGGAATGATGCTGAAAATATAGCTTTGCATCACAGGAATAAATTACATTAAAACTATTAAAATAGAAAACAATTATTTTAAATGTTATATTGTAATAATATTTCACAATATTACTGTTTTTACTGTATTTTTGATCAAATAAATGCTGCCTTGGTGAGCAAGAAACTTCTTTCCAAAACCATAAAACATTTTATTGGTAGTTTATATTTAAGGAGAGACAAGTCTTATCTAGGGACTAGAATATCATAAAGACTTGGGGTATTTTGACCACAAAACCACATAGCAATGTGCTAAAAAACACTCAGAATACCTTAGTAGTCACAAAGCAACACTTTGGTAACCACACACAACACACTTTTTTAGTACAACAGCAGTAATTTTCTTTAGAAAATGTAGATGTTGTTACCATCTTTTTTGTATTAATTATTAGTAATACTTTAAAAAAAAAAATTTACACATTTTTTCTTTATTTTATTTAACAGCTCCCTGCTCCCTTTATGCTTTTTCTATGTTTTTTGCTCTTTTATTCTCTATTGTGCACATAGAAATAAGTGGTGAATAACAATATAGATAATCTTTAATTATTACTATTTTGCATTTACCTTTTTTACCTTTCACCACTGACATTTTTTGGTATTTACTGCAAAATTCACTGCCTAGTTTATTAGAAAACAGCAACATAATGTTTGTCTAATTTGAGAGTGGAGGTAAATGATGATGTCGACAGCTGTACAGATTCAAGACGCTCATTTGCATTCAAATGTGCACAGGTTCACTTTGGTTTTCACACAGTTACAGATAAGCAGTCATATGAAAATCTTATTGCAATCATATAAAATATAGGTAAATGGAAAATGTCACAATAAATAATAAGTAATATATTATAAGGGGATATAGGGGCATATTCTCACCTACAATGCAGTTTAATCCACAAGGAACTGCAGATTTTTTTTGCTGTAAATCTTTATAGGCATCAAGTAAGGCATTAGAAAGCTACTCACCAAGCGCCCCGGACCGAGTCCCTTCACCAGCACACGGACGTAGGTGACCCCCTTTGCCCTCGCCTTCTGCTCAAGACAAACATACATACATTTAGAACATTTAGCATAATAAAAACGAATGAATCACTGAGGAAACACAAAATTGCAGGAGCCTAGAATCTGAGGTCTGTCCAAAACTCCTAATTTAGATCATAACGCTTGTGTCCATACAGCAAATGAATGGTTATCAGTGGGAAGTCATATACTGATTATACAGCCTGCTGTGACTCAGGGTTGTCATTAGAACCTTCACGACACATGCTGATGAAATTACAAACAAATAGCATGGAAGTAACCAAAGAGATGTATAAACATGAAACTGAAGATTTGAAATGCTATTTTTAATTTTTCTATTTCTCTTGGCCAGTCAAATTATCAGTATAAACAACATTGAAACGGTCAGTTAGGTACTGCTGATAATCTCAGACCTGAGGATACATACACGCACATAAGACTTTCATATTTTACAAAAATAAATAAAACACCTTTCAAAAGTTCTCTATATTCCAATTATGTTTTGACCGGCCCTGTTTTGTAATATAACATTTTATACCTGTTCTGACAGAATTTTTCAGCATGATTTTAAATTGAAAGCAGAAAAAACAGTCAAACACAATCTAAAGAAAGGCACTTTAACAATTAAGCAGGGTGTGGTAAAATACTACAAAGAAATGTGCTGCCATCAAGTGGACAACATTCAAATGACAGACAAAATATTTTCGATGGAAATGTCTGATATAGCTCTACTAGACAGTTCAAACAAAACGATATAGTGTTTATGCCTTGACAACTATACTATATTTTTATTACAATGCATTGTACTCAGAATAAATCTATTTTGTATTAATTGATTTTCAATAACCAAACACAAAAATGGTCTTGAACACATTCTATCTCAGTATATGTTATCAATAACCTGGTAACAATCAATTTGATGGTCCATCTTACCACAGCAGCTGAAATCCCAGCAGTCTGTGCTGCAACAGGAGTGGATTTCTTCACATTCTTAAAGCCCTCTGATCCACACGAGGTTCGGACCATGTACTGGCCCAGACAATCTGTGACCTGGACATGTGTGCTACAGAAAGAAAGTAAGGACAATATGTTGTCAGCCTGCAGTTTTAATGGACTCCTGACTATGAAATCCCAGTATTTTTGGAGAGATGGAGAACAAATCACAGGTTGTGATCAGGGATGCATCGATGTTGAAATGACTATTTGTAATAATTATTATAGTGTGGGCCGAGTTAGGTAGACATGCAGTATTAGGTATAAATAATAATTATAATGCACATACTGCAACTATGGGCATCTGTAGCCCTGAGATAAACACAGAACATACTGTAAATTCATTTCACATGTACAAACTAAAAAGCATGATGTAGGACATGATATGCAACAAAAGCACCACAATAGATGGATTAATGACAAGCGTAAGTAAGAGCTGAAATAAGCTCATGCTATAGCTGCATGCACACAGCAAGCAAACTATATCTGGACTAATTCCATTTTAATTTGTCAATCGCAACTATTTAATTTTTGTGAAGCAACTTACTTGTTATACGTGGCTTTTATGTGTGCTATCGGTAACTCTTCAAACTTCTTGTTGTCCCATATCAGGGAGCTCTCCTCACCCGGAAATGGAGGGAAGAGGCTAAATAGGGAACAGAATATAAGCAACAACAATGACAAATATTTTACCATGAAATCTACTACAGAATTTCAAATTATTTATCTATCACTTTTTTTTTTTTTTTTTGCTGGACATGTTGTAGGCTAGTTATAGTTCTTGGTGTGAACGGACCTTAAAGGGATAGTTCACCCAAAAATGAAAAGTAGGGAAAAAAAATACTATGGAAGTCAATGGCAACCACCAACTGTTTGACTACCAGCAATCTTCAAAATATCTTCTTTTGTGTTCAACATAAGAAAGCAACTCATACAGGTTTGGAACGACATGAGGGTGAGTAAACGATGACAGAATTTTCATTTTTTTTGGGTGAACTATCCCTTTAATACTGTTATTTTCCGGTTTATTACAGTGAAGCTGCTTTGAAACAATCTGTATTGTATAACGTGCTATATAAATAAATGTGTCTTGACTTAAATCCTTTAAATAACACAATCCAATTGGAACACATAACAAATACTTCCCAATTGATTGAGATGTAAAAAAAAATGTTTTAACACATCACTTCGGCAAAGACCAGGGATGCTTTCTCATATAAAAAAATCACACATATTGCAGGCGAACCATTTAACTCTATATTCAATCAACCTTGTTGGCTCGGGTTTCTAATCACTGACCACAAAATCAATCCCAGCAGGGATACTCAGGTTCCATGTCAGAGCCTCCTCCACCGGATGCACAGGCAGGCTATCTGAGGACATCTGAGATGCTCGGCCATCTGGGTTAAACGTTGGTAGAAGTCACGCTTTGTCGCTGGTGAGACGTGTTTCGTGGTGGCTCTGATGCTCGGTGTGAAAGGAGACTGGGAAAGGGACAGCTGTTGCTGGAGAGCCACAGAAAAACAGTTCCTGCACAAAGCACCAAACAGGTGTTCTGACAAATAATGCTACCTATCAGATTATGCTACCAACAGTGTATGTATCCTACTGTAAGGGTAGGTTTAGGGTTGGGGTAGGTGTACATGTACATGTTAATAAAGCCTCACACCTTATTAATGTCATGCTGGAAGCAAAATCTGATAGGTAGCACTCTTCGCTATCGAATTATGCTACCATCTGTTTTAATGGGAGGTAGCAAAATCTGACAGGGTCGCACAAATCGTCAGACATCCAGCAAGCTTATACATGGACATGAACATGTCTGGGAATAATTTGCTATTGTCATTTATGTCTTTTTTTTCAGTCCTTGAGCAGTAGCGCGCACTAAAGCTAGTATAAAAACAGATGTGCGTTGCAGGCCTGACCTTGGTTGCTATGGGTACTAGGGACAGACTTGTATTCAACCGCCTGCCCGAGTTCCTGCTAATTGCCGTTGTCATAGCAACGAAGCACCTGATGTAATGGTAGGAAAGGGCAATAATCTTACAAGGGTCCATTTATTTATAGGGAGCTATTCCACCCTGTGCCTGTCAACTTGGAAATGAACTCCGATTAAGTGCTAACATATCGAACAATAATGTTTATTAAAAAGGGAAAAAAATGCATATGTTCGAGAGCACAGGGTAATAATTTTGTGCAATTTCCTGAAACAAACAGCCACTGTAACAGCCTGTCATATGTTTCGGTTTTTACAACTAAATTCATCAGAAAAATGTAGTTGGATCCTAAAGTCTGACACCGCAAGTGAAAATGCTTCTACTTTTTTTTTTAAATACAAAACCAGAATAACAATAAGTGAAAAGTTGAGTTAAAAATAATTTTATTTATTTTGTTCCCCTTGTACTTTTATAACAGCAACGATCAAGCTGCATGAACTCCACAAGTTCAAAACCTGATGATCCGTGTTATACAGCATGATCATTGTCACATTGTTTATTTCTAGGTTTAATTTAGATTTTGAATCCCAAGGTTGCATTTTAAATTACGCAGCCATGCGTAGCTGAAAGCTGTACATGCACTAATAAGAACGAAAACAGACATGATGAGTGACACCTTCACACTTTAATAATTATCAAAAAGGTAAATAACATACATAGCACTGCTGTTGTGAAAAAGGAAAAAAAGCATTACTCTCGAACAGCATTGACCTGAATAATTGAGCATTCAACCTCTATATTCAGACTGGATGGTCGATGATAATACAGAGAGAGAGAGACAAACAAGACTTCTGGGTTCATGGGGTTTCTTCCTCCTCACATCCTTCGTGCTTTGCGAGGGCGACAGCCATTGTGTGGCACTGGGGTGTTGTCGGTGATGGAAACAACCTCTAGTCCTCCCATGGTTAACCCTTTAATGGCAGACTACACACAGGGGAGCAAAATCAATGTAGGCCAAGTCAGCTACGAGATACAGTTCACAACAATACACTCTCTTTACAAGAGACGTGTGACTCCAATGACAAAATGATTCAATGAGTCCTAATACTCTTCAACATTATATACTTGTTAAAGATGCTGATTTGGACAAAAATAAAATGTGTGTAATATTTTTAGTAGGGGTGCACAATATATCTGCACTATATTCTGAGGATATAACAGGTTTTTAATTTTTTTTGATCTATGCTGTCATCTAATGCTCACTTAAAGTTTAATATATAGGAATAATTCAATCAAGAATTTAAATTTGTTGAAAATTTAGGCATCCAAGATTTTGTTTGTCCTTCGGAACAGATCACCAGTGGATCCTCTGCAGTGAATGGGTGCCGTCAGAATGAGTGTCCAAACAGTTGATAAAAACATCACAGTAATCCACACCACTCCAGTCCATCAATTAACATCTTGTGAAGTGAAAAGATGCATGTTTGTAAAAAACAAATCCATGATTTTTTTAGGCATTTTAAACGGTTGTTTCCGGCTACAATACATGCCCTCTATATATGTAATATTGCCTTCTCCTGTAAAAAAGTCAAGTCTGAACCAGGAGAGAAATATGCACAGATCAAGCACCATTTACAATCCAAAACAGTCTAAAACAGTTCTAAACAAATATGTCTGCAGATTTCTTTTGGTATTATTATGGACTATAGATGGGTATTTTGGCCAGAAGTAATGGTTTAAAGTTAAAACATCTTAGTGATGGATTTGTTTCTTACAAACACGCAACTTTTCACTTAAGACAATAATTGATGGACTGGAGTGGTGTGGATTATTATGATGTTTTTATCAGCTATTTGGACTCTCATTCTGACGGCACCCATTCACTGCAGATGATCCATCGGTGAGCAAGTGATGTAATGCTACATTTCTCTAAATCCGTTCTGATAAAAAAAATCTAACTCATCTATATCCTAGATGACCTGAGGTTAACCTGACTCACGTATATTTGAAAAAAAAAAAAATGTTATGATGCCTTAATTCACTGGTAGCATTTAAAATGATTGATTTTAATTTAATTATACAGATAATTAAATAGAAAAGTCTAGAATATTACCTGCCATTTACCAGCCACAACATGAACATAATTACTGGCCAGAACTGTAAAATCAGTGCATCCCTGATTCCTATCCAGCTTCTACCTAACTATCCAAATCTAAGCACAAGTATTTACCCTGGCTTTCCCATTTAGTAATTTGATTCAAATAAGTTAGCGCTGCAGTTGGTGGCTTTGCATTGATTTATTTATGCCCAACCACCATCTGCTTAAATGCAACTTAGTCTAGAAGCTTCTGTTCTGACTGTGAATAAACCGAGGGTAGGTAAAAGAGTAATGCAAGTCTTAAAAGCCCCCTGTTGCCTGCAGCTCTGGAGGGGCTCATTAGATTCTCACCCAGCCTTTATGTCCTCCCACCCGGCTCAGAGTAAGAGCATGCAGACTGCCGCTGAGCTCACAGAACTCATCGGTCAGTTTCAGAGTATTGATTGAATAGTCAGCACGCATAACTGTTGTCGTACCATATGGGCACAAACAGAAAATAATAAATAATCACTGCTGAAATTCCGCTTAAAAGGATCATGAAAAGAAACCGGATGAAATGCAGGAGGTTTAAAATCATACAATCAACTAGATTTTTATATTTTCCTAAGAAAATGTAACTGCAAAAGTCGCTGCCACTATGTCTCTACAAATGTGTTAATGTGTTCAGGGTGATGCCATACATTTTTAATAATTTTTATTTAATTCCGTACAAAATACTGGTTACTGTGTTGGGGAATTGGGGAAAGTTACTTTTAAAAGTAATGCATTACAATATTGCGTTACTTCCTAAAAAAGTAACTAATTACGTTACTTAGTTGTTTTTTATTGAAAGTAAAGCGTTACGTTACTTTCGCGTTACTTTTTAAATCTGGGCTGGGCTTGCTTGTTTGCTTTTAATATAAAAAGTTCTATTTTTGGCAAATATAAAAGCCCTTTCATACCAAAAGCCTCAGGCTGAAGGCGGGGCATAGAGGAGAAACAATAATGTACAGTATGTGGAAAATAATGTGTTTTTTTTACTTTAAACCGCATAAACACATTTCATTACACCAAATACACAAAATAATGTTCTTTTTAGCAACATCATATGACCCCTTTAATAAAATGGGATTAAATACATAAAGGATATTTGTATTATGTAACATATTTAATTATTGCAGCTTTGAGTCATATTCTGAGTTGCTTTTAACTGTTTTTATTAATTTTGAGGAAAACTAAATCTGATTTTTTTTTGTGAGTGAGTGAGATGAATTAATGCATGTTCACATTTATTCTAGAACTAAAGTAACATCTTACTCCCGATTTCTCGCAGCAAGGGGACAGGAGAGCTTTCAATCAATAAATGGGGAAAAAAAGTAACTGGCGTTACTTATTTGAAAAAGTAATTCAGATATTTTCTTGTAAATTAAAAAGTGATGCGTTACGCAAATAGCATGGAAGTAACCAAAGAGATGTATAAACATGAAACTGAAGATTTGAAATGCTATTTTTAATTTTTCTATTTCTCTTGGCCAGTCAAATTATCAGTATAAACAACATTGAAACGGTCAGTTAGGTACTGCTGATAATCTCAGACCTGAGGATACATACACGCACATAAGACTTTCATATTTTACAAAAATAAATAAAACACCTTTCAAAAGTTCTCTATATTCCAATTATGTTTTGACCGGCCCTGTTTTGTAATATAACATTTTATACCTGTTCTGACAGAATTTTTCAGCATGATTTTAAATTGAAAGCAGAAAAAAACAGTCAAACACAATCTAAAGAAAGGCACTTTAACAATTAAGCAGGGTGTGGTAAAATACTACAAAGAAATGTGCTGCCATCAAGTGGACAACATTCAAATGACAGACAAAATATTTTCGATGGAAATGTCTGATATAGCTCCACTAGACAGTTCAAACAAAACGATATAGTGTTTATGCCTTGACAACTATACTATATTTTTATTACAATGCATTGTACTCAGAATAAATCTATTTTGTATTAATTGATTTTCAATAACCAAACACAAAAATGGTCTTGAACACATTCTATCTCAGTATATGTTATCAATAACCTGGTAACAATCAATTTGATGGTCCATCTTACCACAGCAGCTGAAATCCCAGCAGTCTGTGCTGCAACAGGAGTGGATTTCTTCACATTCTTAAAGCCCTCTGATCCACACGAGGTTCGGACCATGTACTGGCCCAGACAATCTGTGACCTGGACATGTGTGCTACAGAAAGAAAGTAAGGACAATATGTTGTCAGCCTGCAGTTTTAATGGACTCCTGACTATGAAATCCCAGTATTTTTGGAGAGATGGAGAACAAATCACAGGTTGTGATCAGGGATGCATCGATGTTGAAATGACTATTTGTAATAATTATTATAGTGTGGGCCGAGTTAGGTAGACATGCAGTATTAGGTATAAATAATAATTATAATGCACATACTGCAACTATGGGCATCTGTAGCCCTGAGATAAACACAGAACATACTGTAAATTCATTTCACATGTACAAACTAAAAAGCATGATGTAGGACATGATATGCAACAAAAGCACCACAATAGATGGATTAATGACAAGCGTAAGTAAGAGCTGAAATAAGCTCATGCTATAGCTGCATGCACACAGCAAGCAAACTATATCTGGACTAATTCCATTTTAATTTGTCAATCGCAACTATTTAATTTTTGTGAAGCAACTTACTTGTTATACGTGGCTTTTATGTGTGCTATCGGTAACTCTTCAAACTTCTTGTTGTCCCATATCAGGGAGCTCTCCTCACCCGGAAATGGAGGGAAGAGGCTAAATAGGGAACAGAATATAAGCAACAACAATGACAAATATTTTACCATGAAATCTACTACAGAATTTCAAATTATTTATCTATCAATCTATATTTCTATCTATATAGAGATACTTCATTATCAATGATAACTATTATTATCAATGTTTTTTTAATTAATTGTTTCATTCAGCATGGATGCATTAAATTGATTAAAGGGGTCATATGATGCGATTTCAAGTTTTCCTTTCTCTTTGGAGTGTTACAAGCTGATTGTGCATAGATAAGATCCCTGAAGTTGCAAAGACTAAAGTCTCAAACCCAAAGAGATATTCTTTATCAAAGTTAAGACTCTGCCACACCCCCCTAAAACGGCTCGTTCTAACACGCCCCCACATATCTACCTCACTATGTGGAAATATTTGCATAATTTGCCACCCAAATGTATGTACAGTATTTGAAAAATAATGTGTTTTTTGAACGTTAAAGCATGCCAACATATTCTGTTACACCAAATACACAAAATAATGATCTTTTAAAAAGCATCATATGACCCCTTTAAAAGTGACAGGAAAGACATTTATAATGTTTCAAAAGATTTCCGTTTTAAATAAATGCTGTTATTTTGAACTTTCTATTCATGAATGAATCCTAAATGCATCACAATCTATTTATTATTTGTAATCTCTGGGGTTAATTTATTTCCTAAGAACGGACAAAAAGGTTTGGGAGCCCCTGGGTTGAAGCCCTATTTGAAAGCAGGTGTTTGTCAGTGTTTCTGTCATACTCTTTCAGTCTTTTGACGGGGGATGATGAGCTCTTGGTTTCCACTGGTTTGGCATCAGTATCTTGTAATCGGATGGCACTGCGTGACAGCGGACGCTGAAGCCCCACATTTCCACCACTGCAGGAGACAACAACCAATTAGATCCCTCAGTAACAAAATACGTCCTGAATGTGCAAAGCTGGGCTGCGTTCAGCCCCGACAAAAACGGTGCAAAACGTTTTTTAAACGGAAACGTTGATGCGTTGAACACCCTGTTCTGATGACGCAAGAGGTGCAACTATGGCAGCTGAGAAGGCCATTCTTTGTGTTCTTTTTGAAGAATTTTTCAAGCCTGATGAAAGTGGTATAAATATGTGTTTAATACTGCATAGAAAAGTTTATGAAAGTGTCACTCCATAATACAATAGCAAAATATATAAATATGTATAGTATTTTTATGTTACGTTAATCAGTATTTAGAACACCTTCCTAAGGAAAGGATATGGACCAGAAGACATTGCAATTACTAAATGATATTTAGACAGACTTAAAGAAGTTCCAGATCTATACTTGTGCCCTTATTATTTCAGTTATTTTGCCTTTAATGTAAATAAACATGTGCAAACAATATACTTGCTCTTGTGAGTTTATTTGGATGTTAATTACACTGTGCCAGCTGTCTCTTTAATACCATGTGGTTTATATACACATGTTGCTGCTGATTGGGCTGACATGTTTGACACACCCACCAAACAAGAGAAAACGCATCTCAAACCCCGTTGCACACCGTTTCCAGGAAACATGTCGTTCAAACCGGAAACCGTAGCAAAACGGTGCACACCGGTTTGAGCTTGAACCTGCCCCTGGTCTCTAGACAAATGGTCACGACTTTGAAGAAACTCAAATTAGAAGACATTTTGTCTTGTATCTATTATTGTCAAATGTGGAAAACAGTAGTAATAACCTTTCACTGATAGTGAATATGGTACTTAGGAGGTGCTTCAAAATACACCACAGTATAATCATGTTAGATGGGGGTGGAAAACAGTATCAGTATGGTACATTTCCGGGAAACCATGGTTTTACTACGATGCATTGTCAAAAAAGGCATATTCATTTAATATGCCCTAAAAATACTATTGTGCCATGTCCAAAAAACATGGTATTACCACAGTACCATGTCCAAAAATGGCATAATCATAGCACTGCATGTCTTAAAAGACACTACCATGCAACCACAACCAAAAACCTGATTAATGTTATGTCAGCATTTGCTATATGATTGTTGTGTTGACTTAAATATAGCGTCAACACAAAAAAATTGACAGCGAAGGAAATGCGTCTGTTATACTCAAATCAAACACTTTATCAGATGTGCTGCTATAACAAACACATGAGCGACTTACATTAACCGTCCAGATGAATTCAAGGGCTCAAAAAGCTGCTGGGACGAACCTCGAATGAAGCTGTACAGCCTAAGATACATAGTGTGAGTTTTAAATCATGCAGCTTATTCACAAACACAAACACACATGACTTCAGGTAGCTTGGCGGACATTGTAAAGTGTGCTAAACGGGACCGTCACAATCATGCTATATGGTTCAGAGGGGGGTTTTACTTATACTTTAGACGCCAGTGTAACGAATGTGACGTAAAGTACTTTTTGTTATGTTAATCATAGTAATAATAAAAAGTATAGCTATAATACGTCTTTGTTTTCATTAAATTACCTTGGTAAACACCGCCAAATCTTTTTTCTCCTAAACTGGTTCCCCCTATTTTTGAAATAGTCGCGTCTATTTCACAAACTCCGGGAACACGTGCGGTCAACATGGCGGCGCCCTTCAGTAGGCTTTGGCGACCATTGTGGAGCATAACAACTACAAGTACATTAAACAAAGGCGTGCGAAATGTTTCGGCCTCTAGGCAACAGTGGTCTGCGCAAAATGTCAAGACTGCGGGTGCTCCGTCTCCGTGGGCGCTGCACGGAGCTGCATGTCTGCAGCGGCTACCTGTGGTCTCTCAAGACGGGAGCCCCATAGAGGAAGAGTTCATGGAGCTAATGCACCTGGTAAGAAAGCATCAGTATTGCACATTAAATATATAATATTATAATTATTTGAAATACACCATGTTCATATCATAATGTCTTTTCACCATTTATGTAATTTATTTTCTTTTTCGAATTTTAGTGTGCTGTGCAGCATATTTTGAGTCTGTGTGTCTGTCTGTGTATTTTAATATTAATCTGCTAGCCATGAGCCGCCTGTCAAACACATCTCACGGGATTGCTTATTGTTTCAGATGGAGTTAGAGAGAAGTCTGCTCTCGGACCACGAGCTGAGGCTCCTGGAGGATGCTGCACTGATGAGCCGGAAACAAGAAGAGGGTTATGATTCAGATGAGGAGGATTATAGGGACAACGAAATTGTTACAGCTCAAGATCTGGAAGATATTTGGGAACAGAAACCGAAGCAATTTCAACCAGCTCCGAGGTCACAAGGTAAGCATTATTTCGGCAGTGATAGAGTTTTTTGCTTTGATGTTAGTCATGTTTTTAAGACGTTTCAGAGTTATAAAATGAATGAACGAATGAGCCCTTTATTGTCACTGATCACAGGTACCAGCAAAATTAGCCATCCACCTGTCCATACATACATACATACAGACAAGGGGGTAGACAGCACAGGAGGACAGGGAATTTTTAGAAGAAATACAGCACAACATGAGGGCGGGGAGGAGATAAAAAAAAAAACAGACCCCAGACTATGCTAGACTATATAACTATAAGACTATATAAAACATGTCGAATGTTCACAAATTACTCTACAGGTGTTGACGAGAAAGACGTGAGTTCTTCAGAGTGGTTTATTGGAACACTACAATTAGCCCAAGTCTATATTAAATGACTTTAACTCACTGTCTGTGCAGTGTCACTCCATTATGGCGAAGCTGAGGGTTGTAGTTACTTCAGAAACAGAAAGAATATGCTGTAACTTTTCCAATTTTATGAGACCGCGTTGACAATTTTCTGCACTCCTGAATGTTTCTATGTGCTTTTCATAAGTATTCATCTTTCTTCATCCTTCTTTTCAACTGCAAACTGCATGCTTTTTTCAGAAAAACTGCTCTTTTCAAGTCCATCCATAAATTCTCAATAAGACTGAGACTGATCTGGTCATTCCAGGACATTAACAACATCAATTTAAACCATAAGTACTCACCCGTCAAGTCGGCATTAAATAGATGACTGCAATTTCAGACTTGTGTTTATGTGGACAGTTTGGTCACTGCAATGCAATGTTTTTTGTTTTGTTTTTCTCGAAACTGCATGTTTCTTTCAGCAAAACTGCTATTTTGAAGTCCATCCATAAATTCTCAACTGGATTGAGATTGATCTTGCCACTCATGGACATTAACATTGTCTATTTAAGCCATTCCTGTGTAGCTTTGGGTTGTTGTCTTGCTGGAAACAAATATTGTGTCAAGTCACAGGAGTTTTTCTACAGGATTTTCCTGCATTTAGCTGTTTTCAAACCCTCACAAGCCTTCAAGGTCTTGCTCTAGAGAAGCTTCCCAACAGCATGATACTGCCATCACCATGCTTCCCAAATGATATGTTGTGTTTGTCTAACGTGTATTTAGTTTGATGGCTAAAACAACTTTATTTTGGTCTCTTCCAACAAAACCATGTCTTCCAGCTGGTCTTGGTGAACTGACCTCCCTCACTAGTGTCCTCCATGGTCACTCGTTTTTTTAGGACAGCCAGCTCTAGGTAGATTTACAGCACTGGCATGCTCATTCCATTACTTAATTATTGATTTAACTATACACCAGGGATATTTAATGGCTTCTTAAAGTCTTCTTGTAGCCATCCCCTGACTTGAGCTTTTCAATTACTTTTCTGCAGAATTGCTTAGAGGGTTTTTGTTTGTCTTAATGATGTAAGTTCTGCCACAATATTGACTCCCCACAAGTTGGAGCTCCCAGATTTGAGTTGTTTTTATACAATCAACTGAAACTCTTTGATTACACACAAGTAATTTACCTATCAACTTGACTCATGTCATATTAATAATACTTATGAAATTAATTAGTTTGGATTTTATACTCAGTATTATTTAAATCCCTTTATAGAGTGTTTTTCTGTTGATTAGTGTCAAAAAAGCCAAAGGAAGTCCACTATGATTCATTGCTGTAAAGCAACAAAACATGTATTTTAAAGGAACTGTATCTCAAGTCTACCATTAATCCAGATATTGGCATATTGTTCTAGTTTTATTAGTTCAGGTATACATACAGTGTTCTCTGCACCTCAATACGCTAGTGGCTAACCTAATAACGGTGAGAATAAAAAAACATTATGCATGTTTGCTGCTAAGACATTTTCGACCCAAATCCCACTTCAAATTAAATTGGCAACATTTAGCCCATAAACATGCTTTACCTCAACAACTTAATTCATAATTGAAGGTTAAAACGGGGGCTCTGAGGTCTTCAGAGACAGCTAAATGGAGCTGGGAAAGCAATAAATGGGTGCGAGTACGAACCTTCCCTCCCTTTAAAGACCTCGAGCGCTGAGCTCAGCTGTATGAGATCAGGTGAGGTTATTGAGGGGATGTACCACAATTAGCTGATCATCATGTTTTGTCCTCGCTCATGTCTCACACCTCTATCACAATGCTTTTTCATGTCTGAGAGGATTAAACACCCTTTGACGATATTAGAATTGATATTTTCTCTGCACTCTGTCCTCTCCTATTTGTTTGTTTTTAGACACCAAGTCCCATTTCAAATTAAAGTGAATGACTGCCCTAAAAAAACAAAGCCTACAATCAATCAACCATTTATAAAGTGCAGAGTACAATGCAAAATCTTTGGTTGTACGGAATGAAGTCCCAAAGGAGAAATTTAACCCCAGTTAACCTAACAGTGCTGCCATTTGCATTTTTTTTTAAATCCAGAAAAGCCAATTTAATTGAACAAGCAATAACACTTATTGATCTATAAAACTTCAGCAAAAAATATTATGTGCTTATCCTAGAGCCTACAGATTTGGACAGGGGTTTTCAAAACATTTTGATACCAAGGAACCCCCAGAAGTGAATATAGTTTTGTAAGTGACCCCTACTTAAAATAGAAAGGCAGCTATTTATTTTCATAAATAAAGACTAATTTTTTTACTGTGTGAGAAGTGTAAGGTAACTTGTTTAATTGACCTTCTGTGACATATTTTCACTGCTTAAGTCAAAAGAAAATATAAAAAATATTTTTAGAATTTAATATAAAATTTAATTTATAATAAGATTTTTTTCTACACACAATTAGACCTGATGAAAACCATTTTCACTGTTACACTATTCTTGTCTCATAAAAATGTAATAAATAAAAAAAATTTTCATAGAAAATATATTTTTCCATAGAACTTGGTTTAATTTTTAAAAAGTAAATAACATTTTATATTTTACATAATTTAATAATAATAATAATAAAGGTGTTCGGTTTTAATAATTTTATTTTTATTTTTAATAATCTTAAAAAAATGTATGTTAACTTTTACAGCCATACAAATACACTTTTTTTTCCTTCTCAAATTTTCCGCAGATCCTTTAGCACCCCTTTGTGGCCCCTGGACCCCAATTTGATATGCCTGCATATATAATTCTCTATGGTAAAAATCTTTACCTGATGTTGTTTGTGAGTCAAAAAGATAGAAATTAGCTTATTATAGACTACACTAGTTCATTTCACTACTGTTTAGAACTCATTTCTAGAGCAAACGTACACTACTAAAGAAGAATATTTAGAAAAATTCATCAAATCGAAAAATGAATGGCTGTCTTGACATTTCAGTGACGTAAAAGTAGAGTCATTACACCACTGAGGAAAATGTGATACTGAATATCCTTCACTGAAAAACTAACATAAAGTGTGTCATTGAATATGGGTTCCTTGAGCACAAAGCAAAGGGTGTCATTAGGTGTCATTACCAGTTACAGTCAGTGATTTGTTGCTTTTTCATACCTGGCCTTAGGTCAGCTCTCAAACACTGTGCTGCGGATGCACTTTTGTGAGTGCGCTCCTTTGAAAAGTCATTACATTTGTGAGAAACCAAGATGGGTATGACCCTCTTGGCAAAAAAGAGCTTCTGGAAATTGCCCCATCCATCATAATTACACCTATTGGGCAGCGCTAAGGAAGACAGGGGGGAGCGAGCCCCTTTCCTGACCTGGTACGGATCCGGAGAATGGGAAGACTGAAATTGAACTGAAATCCCTTTGGAGGAAATAGAGGGATTAGGAATGTTTGAAGAAGTCCCTGTTAAGGCGAGAACTAGATTTTACAATCGTTTTGGGACATTTCCCTTTTTCTGGGTATTATCTATCTCCTTAGCATCCATCCGATGTTCTTGATTGATACCCTACCAACTATTTACGGCTTCATTGTCTCCCTCTAAAGCTTCTTTCAAGACAATCTATCCATAATGTGTTAATGGCAGAGGCTATTTTGAAAATTGTTGGTAAATTTAAAATGTTTGCATCTGAAATAGCTGAAATAGTGTCAGCTTTGCAGGAATTAACTTAGTTAAAACACTGTGAATCACAATAGATGCATATTTTTTTAAAGCAGTTGCTCCACACTGGCCTGCAAAGGAAGGAATTCCTTTTTGCACTTGTTTGTTATGTTTAAATTAAGCCATAGAAGCCAGGAAAAGGCGCAGAGGGTCATTAATCAATTAACGTGCAATTCACATTACCCTTCAAAAACACTGTGGTGCAACAAAAAATGCATAATTAGTGAGAAACATATGGCTTCATCATGTATGACTTTGCTTGGCTGAGCTTAGCGTATTCAGTCCCTCCACAGAAAAGAAGTGTATGAAATGTTTAAGCACACTTTTTGGGAAGCCAAACTAATGCAAGACAGCATTTTTCTTTCTGCATTTAGCAGGAGAAAGCAATTTAGGTAATGTGAATAGTTAGTAATTGTATTTCACTTTTGCATTTGACCCAATAGACTTTAAAATTCACTTCATTTGAATCTTGTAATCTTGCTTTTTGGTACAAGGTTGGAAGTGGAAGAAACACTGAAACAATTAATTTAATGTCAGCTACAACATGAGTCAAGTCACTTAAACTTGAGACTTAAGTTCAATAAAAATAGTTTGATTTTCATTATTTGAACTTTATATTGTTCAGTACATCCAAGCTGCAGATGAGTTTGTTTCGTTATCGGAACAGATTTAGAGAAATGTAGCAAGGATCCTCCGCAGTCAATGGGTGCCGTCAGAGTCCAAACAAACAGCTGATAAAAACATGTCATGTGGATTACTTGTGGATTATTGTGATGCTTTTATCAACTGATTGAACTCTCATTCTGACGGCTCTGACACCTGAGTGTTTTCCAAGGTGGTCTATCCTATCAGGCAAAGTTAACTACAGTGTTCCTGTAGTTCAAACAGTAGGGCAATGTACAAGAAACAGCATGTTCCCAGGGAATGCCTGAACTGATAAACTGTATACTTTGAATGCAATGTAAGTCGCTTTGGATAAAAGTGTGTGCCAAATATAAATGTGAATGTAAATATAACGTATATATATAATATATATATAATATATAATGTCAGTTAGGTTATCTGTTAACTGAAACAAAACACCCATCCACATGATATATTCAGAATTATTCCCTTGAATAGAAAGTATCACACAGGCAAATTATGAATCTTTAGCAATTATCTGCTCCTCTGTTTCAGTATACATAGGAAGCAACTGGACTGATACATTTTCTAAAGAATATGTGAATGGTGCTTGCTTACTTTTGCAACATGTTGGAGTTTGGGAGTTTCCAGCAGTGTCAATATATTTTGAAAAATCTGCTTAAAATGTACCCACCCTCAGGCCACCCAAGA